ACGCAGAGTAATTCAGATGTAATAGCGCGCTGAAGTTTGATTACCTTTTTTTTTATACACCCTACAGTAAAATATATAAATTTCCCATCCAGTCCTAGGATATCGAATTGTCCACCACCTCTTACTGAAAGCCGCTAATGCGAATTAAACATGATTTCTATGGTAAGAAAAAAAACAAACTATAATGGTATTGTCATATCAATATATTTTTCATTCAATATATAGATTAATTAAAACTAGCTTTGTATAATTTCAATTCGTGTTACTGAATGGTTCACGCACACACAAACTTACACGTAGATAGCAATATAATTTTAAATAATAAAAATTGTTCTGTTTAGGTCAATTGAAAATGTATAACAACTTGAAATAAATAATTCAGAAACTCTGGCATATATTAGCTTGAGTATATCACGCCATTTTTCCTTCCTCAGGAACAGTTGGACCAAATAACCGAATCAGACCGCATCAACACAAGTTATTTCATTTACTCCATGTCTGGTGAGATTCCGACATCCATTCATTTTGGCCAACGTTGTTCACGAGTCTGAAACTAGTCTGTCTCCCAACTTTGCTTTGCTATTAGTTACTCATTTACTTCTGTCTTGTCCCCATTTTCATTTATTTCGCATTCAGGGAGAACATCTTTCAGCCGATTTATTGTTGATGCTTGATCTTTTACAGACACCATCCCATACAATGAAAGAAACCTTAACTTCCTAAAATTATAGGACATTTCACAAGTTAGCGTATGTTACAACTTGAAAAGCATTTTACAATTACATTATTTCCCCTGGTATATAGAATTGAAGCCTTTTATGTTTATATTCCAACTCGTATATTGGATATGCAATATATATTGTATAAAAATGAAGGAAAATCAAGTAAATAAATATGTTATTTTCCGCAAATATACTGAACAGATTTACTAGTGTACAATAATACTGTCTCGCATAAAAACGGTCTACAAGCTGCAACTGTGCTACTTATGGTAAATAATTTTGTTGAAACAAATTATTGTTAAATAAATAAATGAATAGCGCGCATTTGACCGCGATTAATGCTGCCTGCCTACCTAAGTTTAAACAATGAAGAAAGGTCTTCTATTTCAGAACAGTTGCTGATATCAAGGTCCTCTAAAGTCTCTTGAACTGGTAGAAGTTTGGTCAAATCTGAAACATATCTGCAGTTGTGTAAATTTAATGACTTCAAGTGCTGCAGACCATCTAAAAGAAAAAATATCAATCAACTCTCTTAAAATTTCCAAACTACTGCGCTTACCTACTGTATATAGCACGATTTGACCGCTCCTAATCTAAAGTTAAATTAGATTTGGAATTTTCATTTATAAAAATAGGCACAAAATGCGTACATGGACGCATTGCGAACCTACTTTTATAAAAGTTTTATGAAACATTCAATTGATAACTTTTACAGAATATAGCAGTTTTGGGAAATGCTATATGAATATTTGTATCAATCACGTTTTGGATTAACTGCCCAGTCTTGTTGTCGAAAAGAACAAAGAAGCATTCTTGAACGTACCCAAATGATCGAGCCCTCCATCAGTGATGTATGTGTTCTTAGCATCGATGCCTTCAACTTCGTATTTATTTCGAGACCATTCTGGCAAGGAATTGTAATCCCAGATATATCTATCAATTTTTGTGAACTTTACACCTCCTCCACATCTTAAAATCCATTCTCCTGCAACTCTAAAATCATGATATATCAACTAAATGTTAAATATCTACCAGCTAGCTTAATCCATTGAGTGGCAGCACTCTCCCTCTGATGAGTAAAATCGTCTGGCATTAGATGGGGTAAAATAATAAAGTAGGGCACATCTGGAGAATGGGGACTGCACAGCGATTTTATGATGGGGGAGGGGGCTGCTGTTCAGGTCTAGTAGCATGCCCCTCCCCAGACATCACAAGCCCGGACAACGCATTTTCATGCAGCTATTTATCACAATAATTTAAAAATTAAAATTTAAAGTAACCATGCGTATAATACTATAATGCCTGATGATAGGCAGATATATTTCTGTGAACCACATGTCTATACTGAAAAAATCAGTGAAGATTCTTGCCGAAAATTATCATATTGTAAAAGAACAATTACACAAATATGCAAAGGCCAAGTTGAGCGTTACTCTGCTTTGAAAATCACACAGGGACGTTTAAAACTGACACATACTATAGAAGCCCCAAACACTTTCAAAACTAATACATTTCACCTTTCAAAACTGATAATTTTAGTTATGCCATTTAGCAGTGTCACACAAAAAAGGAGAAATATATTTAAACCTTGCATGCATGCAATTATAGCATAACCACCAATCTCGTACCCAGAGCAAATCAGTATTTATTATAGTACTATCCCAAACAAGCACGAAAGGCCATATACATTCAGTACCATGAAAACTTTAGGTGGGGGGGGGGGGCATGGACTCATGCAAATTGTGAACTTCTGATGCAAGATGGCCATAACGTTTCCAACACCAACCTTTCAGGACCAACAGTTTGCCGCCTGTCTTCGTCAACTCTTAATATAATAAAAAAACAAATTTCATGCTTTATTTGATGGTGATGGAATTAGGTGAGCAGGGTAAATCTAATTCGCTATGTTTGAAATAAGTTGACTGATGCAAGATCGAGCAGCTGGTGTCGCTGGTGGGCTGCAGGGGTACAACCCATACCCATTGAATATCAGTGCTCTCCCCTTAAGGGGAGTAAAATTGTAGTAAAATTATCTGGCATTAGACAGAATAAAATAATAAAATAGGGTGCATTAGTACAATGCAACTCAATGGGTCTAGACAGATATAAGATATAGTCTGATTAACCAATTGAGTGCCAGCACTCTTTCCTTACAAGTAAAATCGTCTGGTGTTAGACAGAGTAAAATAATAAAGTAGGCACATTGGGGCACAATGCAATGCAGTGGGTTAATTAACTTCCGTACATGGCATGTCCCCAAGCAGTTGTCACTACCGTCTACCAAGGCCTTTAAAGATGATGGATCAATTTGCTTAATTAAGGTGGGCCTTTCCAGGAGCAAGCATCTGGCCTGTCAACAATTCCACTCTTTCCTAAAATCTATTTTGCTACATTAAAGATGTGGTACAGTCCGATCTGCACATGTGCACAAAGGAGCCCTCTTTTATTTACAAACAGTACATTAAATCCCACCTGTTAAATATGTTGTTCAGCCACAAGTAAAATGCCCTTCTCGATTGAATTGTACATTTTAAACCTTTTTGTATTCGAAAATTTCGCAACATTATTGCAAGAATATTAAATGTACTAGAATTAAATATTGTTTCTTAATTATTCCGGGGGGAGGGGGACCAGGAATCTAAAACTTGAGAATTCCTTAGCAAGAATGCTGAAATTCCAAAATTCCCTAAATCACTTTTCCGTGACTTGAGATGACAGATAGTTGTTGGTCAAAATGGGGCCGGGGGGAGGGGTTTTGCTTCCCCCCTCCTCCCCGCAGTTATATACTGTAGTTAATTAAAATTCAAATTTCTCAATTCTTAAAAATTCTTGGAATTTGCAAAATTCCTCTTTTTAAGGATAAACCTGGATGTGGGAGGCCCTAGCACGTGATTCATTATTCAAGATGGCAGCCAGAGATGTTGTTAGTTCGCTACAACGCGAAGTTGAACTCGCAAAAGAAGGGCTAAAAAACGTCGATCAAAACATCAAAAAGTTAACCGGGAGGGATCCGTCAGAGGCGAGGTTAGATATGAAGTTTTTTTGTGAAATATTTGACACATTTATTAGTTATATTGATGCGTTTGATCGCTAATGTTTGGATGGTTCACGTCATCCGAATATTCAATTCACAAAATTTCACATTGCTTCGGTTCTTTTAGACCTGAACATGTAAAATATATTGTACAGTTAAGTACTAAAAGGACGAATGCATCTTTATTTAACAGATCTCCAAAATTATTAGTCAGACAGTCCGTTTTATGACCACAGAACAGCTGAACATTTCATATGTTTACTGTACCCAAGTAATCTGGACTGCTAAGTTAGCACGCTGAAATTTTATGAATGGCTGTTTATATAGGGTGCCCAAGCTGACCTTTTTTAGGCGAGATCCCATTTTTGTTATTATTTCCTACTAAATTTCATTTTGCATTTTATTCTTGACTTGCAATCAATCCCTTGAGAATTAGAAGAAAATGGCATGGCGGCCATGTT